TTTACAAGTAGGTCGTTTGAATTTTTTGATAAACAATTAAAATATCTTATATAAATATATATATTTATAATATTTATAATTAATATTTAATATTTAAATTAATATATTAAATATTAAAATAATAGTTTAATATTTAAATTAATATATTTAAATATTAAAATAATATTATTAAACCCTTGTATATATATAGTATTTTGATAAGTACATTAAAATCTAAATAATATATAAACATTTACTAATTTCGTTTGATATTAATTTTGATAAGTACATTGTAACGTAAATAATATTTAAACTAGACAAGAAAAAAAAAAGTAAGAATACAAATTAATTTTTATTATAACGATAGTTATATTTCTATTTAACGTATAATAAATTTTATTATGATGGTATGAGGAGAGGGATAAAGTGGGGTGAAATCGGTCATCATTACTTTACGACTTACGATAAAATAAATCGTAATAACGATCTCTTTACGATGAATATAAAATGCATAGAGACAAAAAAAAAAGGTATACCTACTACATATTATATAATTACGTGTTAATGAGAAAAAACAAAAACAAAAATAAAAGGACAAAAGTTCAAGAGAAAATGAAAAAACAAAAAAAAAAAAAAAGAACAGGAAAGAAAAAGCAAAGACAAGAAAATATAAAAAAGTTAATCGCGTTCGTGTAAATTCCGTATTATCGCGAATAAAGCCGAAGTTATTATCATTAATATCACTGTTGTGTATACATTATTAAGGTATTACTCCTTCATCTATTTATTCTAACAATTTTTATTATTATTATTATTATTATTATTATTATTAAATTTTTATCAACGAGCAAACGCACATGATAATGACGTCATATATGTATTATATAAGTTATGACATAAAGTATTTATTAAACGATGAGTATAATCTTATAATGATCGACGCTTTAATTTAAATTGCACGTAATTAGTAAAACTCGACGATTAGTTTGATCAATAATTTTAAAACTACGATTAAATACTACTACCCACTATTTAATTATAAATAATTTTATTTTTAAAGTAAAAAAAAAACAAAAAAAATAAACATAAATAAAACAAACCCAAGATTTCAATATCTGATTTTTAAATATTAAATATTAAAATATAATTTACGTTTACATATATTTATCAAAATCCTATATACAGTATATATATATGTATGTATGTATATGTAAACGAAAATGTAATACATACGTATGTATATACGCATATATGCTTTAATAACGTCCTTTTGTCATAATTATGATATTTTCCTACTTCTATGCACCATGCTGCACGTGCATACATATATATGTGTGTATATATGTATGTATGTATATCTATATTTACAATTAGTATACGCTTCGTTCATTTTCACGATCGATCATTATATTTACGCACAATATATCCTCACCTATCGGTTTAACATTTCATTTATTATAATTTTCCTATCCTCCTATTCCTCTTTTACCCTCACTTTCCTTTATCGGATTAATTTGAAATAAATTAACTAGGATAGGAATGATTTTAATTTATGTAAAGGACAATTTTCGAGAAAATAGTAGAGAAATCGTATGTGTTATGTATATATCATCCAAAAATATTTGTTTTTATCAATTTACGGTTTTTATTTGTGCTCTATGTGTGTATTTTATTTATTGTGTGTGTATTTTACTTTGTTAATTTTAATTTAATTATTTTATTATTTTTTAATTTAATTATTTTATTTTTGTAATTTTAATTTGATTATTTTACTATATTTTAATTTAATTATTTTATTTTTGTAATTTTAATTTTGTTTATTTTATTATTGCAATTTGAATTTAATTATTTTATTATTGTTATTTTAATTTTGTTATTTTATTATAATTGAATTTAATTATTTTATTATATTCGAATTTAATTATTTTATTATATTTTAATTTAATTATTTTGTTATATTTTAATTTAATTATTTTATTATTTTTTAGATTTCATATCATTGAAAAAAAAAAAAAACCATAAAAAACGTTTATATAATTTGTTAAACATAAATTTATTCGATTTTATTTATTTTGTCCCTTATTTATTTTTATTTTCTTAGTATTTTTTTCTTTATAACATTTAACAGTCGATTGATCACCTGTAAACACCTCAAACGAAGAACATGAGAGAATGAGAGAGAAAGAGAGAGAAAGAGAGAGAAAGAGAGAGAGAGAGTTTGTTTATTTCTCAAGCTGTCGAGGTTTACTTGAAAGACTTATCCTTCGATCGACTAATTGGCCTATGTAAAAAAAGGGCAGTAACCATGCATGAAAACATCATAATGCACACACATACATACATGCATACATATACATAAATATACTTCTAAAATGGTTATGTATTATGTATATTCCTGTGACCTATCGAGGGCAACGTTTCATTTAATCATGTCAGTTTCTATTCTGAACATGAGTTAAGTAACCTTGTAGTTTAAAATATTCCATTTTCAACAATAGATAATTACTAATAAGAATTTTTATTAATAATATTTCAAATCGAAGTAAGTTGTTTTCAAACGATTTATTACTTTTACAAATAAATTTAAAAGTAGATTTATATTTTTTTATTTATTTTATACACTATATAGTTTATTATTGTTATTATTGTGTTATAATAATTGTTTAGTGTTGTATTTTTTTTTTTTTATTATAATAAGTATGCATGTTATATTATTATATAATAAGTATTTTAATTTATTAAATTAAATAATTTATTATATTAATATATATATATTTTATTTAAATATACTTTAATATATAATTTAATTAAATTTAATATTAAATTTTAATATATTAAATATAATATATATTTTAATATTATTAATATATATTTTATGTAAATATACTTTTTTAATGTATAATTTAATTGAATTAAATATTAAATTTTTTAATATATTAAATATATAATATATATATATATAATATTATTCATAAATTTATATAAAATTAATTTAAAATAATTAAAATACTTTAATTAAATATTAATTTTATTTTTCGCGACTACCGAGATTCGAACCCACGATACCGCGTGTACGAAACTTGTTACTCTAGCATCGAGCTACGAAGCTTACTTTAATTAAATTTATTTTTTTTTTTATAAAATATATATTTAATTTGAATGAATATTTTTCGTATTTTGTTTTGTATTTTGTTCTTTCTGTTTTTCTGTTTTTTTTTTGGGGTTTTTTTTTTTATAATAAATTATGAAAGTAGTTTAAATTAGATATTTTAATTGTATTGCTTTTGCAATTGCATTTGTAAAATTCTAAAGAATTAATTTTTATACAATGGGAAATGATATTACGTATTTTCTTGGACATTTAATTATGAAAAAGGGGTAGTAATGCGGTCTAAATATAATAATAATATGCTCTCTCGAAAAGTTGAAGTATTTATTCGTTGTAATACTCATTTAAATGGGTAAAGCTCACGGATTAATTTAATCCTTTAGCCTTAGAGCTTTCATTTTACGTTTATCAATAACTTTGACATTCTAAAGTCAACTTCTCTTTTTTCTCATTTTTTTTTGTTTCACCGTTTGATATAATAAATAATATCAAACGATTCTAGGTTATATTAAGTAATAAATTTCTTGACTAATCTTTAAGCAAAAAAAAAAAAACAAAGAAGAGGACAAAAAACAGTCAACATTTTGATTCTCGTAGTGAAAGAAATATTTTCTTTTCTTCCACCTACCTACATTCCCCGTTAATGCTAAAAATATACAATAAACCTTTTTTTTTTTTTTACTAATCTTTTAGCAAGAAAAATAAAAAAAGTACAAAACAATCATATTTTGACTCTCGTAGTGAAAGAAATATTTTTGTTCTTCCCACTATCATCCGCCATTACTGTAAAAATATTTAGAGATGACATTAGCTGGCAAATTAATTATTGCGTCCATAATAAAATTCATATTTTCGTAAACACAATATTATGCCGTTATTTTGAACATAACAATAATAATAATAATAATAACAACAATAATAGTAATGAAAAAGACAGAATGAAAATAATTTATTAATTTTGTTTTCTTTTTCTTTCTTTTATTTTTACAGTGTAAACAATTTTTTACCATAGAAATTGTTGCATAAGAGCAACGAAGTAAAATTATATTTTTACTTTAAGAATTTTTGTATAGTAGATGTAAAACGTATCTATGCATTGATCAATTTGAAATTTTAGGTTATTAACTAATTTTTTTTATAAATAATGAATTTTATTATTATTATTATTATATATATATATATGTACAGTGGGTGTAAAAAGTATTCATACACCGATCAATTTGAAATTTTAGGTTATTAACTAATTTTTTGTATAAATAATGAATTTGTACACATTCTTAAAAGTTTATTACACAATAAATATAATATATTTTATTTTTTTTTGATATATTATATTATATTATATAATATAAAATATAATTAATAATATTTTCAAATGTAGTACATTGTTTTCGTATTCTAACCTAGTTACAATTTAAATGAGTTTAAAGTAAAATGTGTTATACGTACTATTATTATAAGATCATAAAATATTGATGTACGTAATAACATCACGAATGGTATAAAAAAAAAAGAAAAGAAAAAAATACTATAATCGTTTTGAAAATTGTAGATACATGGTACAATTTGTTAATAATTGCGTCTATAGATAGAAAGAGAGGAAAATGAGAGAGAGAGAGAGAAAGAGAAAGAGAAAGAGAAAAAGAAAAATAAAAGTTTTAATGAAAACTAATCTACAAGTTATACTAAAAGATGCATGAACATAAATACATACATACATATATATATATGTATATGTATATATACTGAATGTACATTAAATGTATGTAAATATATATTACTTTTAGTTATATGTATTAAAGCTATGCATTAGAAAGATGTATGTGTGTGTGTGTGTGTGTGTGTGTGTGTGTGTGTTGCCTTATCGTACGTTTACTCTTTGCATGTAATGTACTGTATATTTTTTTTCATCGCTCTTTCTTACCTAAATGCACTTGCTTTATTCATGAGGTCATTTCTGTGACGCGATTCTCAGGTTTTTTATTTACAGTGAAAAAAAAAAGAGAAAGGACAAAGCAAAACTATTCTTTTCTCCAGTGTTAAGGGCGGTGAGGGGAGGGTCATACTACTTATGACATATAGATTGACATAATTATTATATTATTATTATATACATGATTTGTTAAATCATTTAAGGTTACATCTTTAAAGGTTAACTATGCATTTTACTTTTTTTTTTTATTTTTTATTTTTTTTATGATTTTATTAATACTAGAATACACGTCAATGAGTGAATTTAGAATTGTAGTCGAATTGGTTCTTTTCAAAATTTTTTTTTTATAATGTTAGGTGGTCCTAAAAATTTATAAATTTTTTTGATAAAATGTTAAACAATATTGCATGCAAATATATTTTTTGTTTGATGTATTTTACGTTATTTTATTAAATAATATCAATTCTACTGTATAACCTAAAAATTTATCGTCAATATAGTCAAATCAGTTCTTTTAAAATTTTTTTTTATAATATTAAGTGGTCCTAAAAATTTATAAATTTTTTTGGTGATATGTTAAACAATATTGCATGTAAATATATTTTTTATTTGATATATTTTACTTTATTTTATTAAATAATATCAATTTTACTGTATGTAACCAAAAACTTTATTGTCAATATAGTCAAATTGGTTTTTTTCAAATTTTTTTTTATAATATTAGGTAGTCCCAAAAATTTATAAATTTTTTTGATGATAAGTTAAACAATATTGCATGCAAATATATTTTTTATTTGATGTATTATACATTATTTTACTGTGTGTGTGAATAATATTAATTTTACTGTAATTAAATTTAACCTTTTTCTACATTTTCAATTATAACCTAATTGTATAATATATAAATATATAATTATATATAATATAATAAAAATATATATAAACCCCCTATTAATATTATATAAATATATAATAAATATAACCTAAAAATTAATTGTGACTGTAAAATAATTACTAAAAAAGAAAAACGAAAGAAGAAACTTTTGGAATGACTTAATATATGTAAATATAAATAATAATATAAATAATAATAAAAAAAATCGATAATGGAAAGGGGGGAGGGACGGGGGTGGGGGTTAAGTAATAAAAATGTGTGGTCTATTTACATGATATTTAATACGAACTCAACAAAGCATTTTCAATATTCCATTTTCTCATGAATATTTTATAGAGTTGGAAAACATTTCTCGTCATATTTTCTTTTTTTTTTACTCTCTCTCTCTCCCTCTCTCTCTCTCTCTCTCTCTCTTTATTTCTTTTATTATTCGATCGTTCATTTTAACGAATTGTTATTTTATATACATATAATTTATTGCAAGTGCATATTCTTCACTGACAGATATCAGAAATTATTTTTTAAAAATATTTTTCGTAATAGAAAATCATTTTGACAAATTTCTTGGTGTTTTCGTGAGTTTTTGTTGTTTTTTCTTTTTTTTTTTTTTTTTTNTATATTTATTATAATAATATTAAGTGTATTGTATTTTTTTTTTTTTATTTTTATTTTCATTTTTATATTTTCAGTTTTTTTTTTTTTTTGATGAATGATTGAGAAGAGATGAAAGGAAAAAAATAACAAGTGTGAGAATGTGACGAAGATAATACACTGTATTTTTAGTCAAATTTATCGAATACAAATTGAATAGTCGAGTTAATAACAGCTACGATAGAATAAATTTAATCGATTTATCGAAGTTTATATATTATATTGAGCAAAGTAAAATGGAGAAAATAATATTCTTTTCAAATCGTTTTCTTGCAAATCTGATTTGAATGGAAGAACATTTTTAGTTTTTCTTTTTTTATTTTACTGCAACCGTGAAAAAATAYATACATACCTGCATATATGTATATACGTCTTCGTATACAGTTTATTTTTTATACACACTAAGAAAAAAAAACGTATTATTTATTAAGTATTCTTCTTCATTAATTCTTTTTTTTTTTTATCGTTTGATTTTTAATGTTGTTGTTTTTAATTCATTTTTTTCATTAATCAAATATCATATATTTACATTTTTATAAATGTAAGTATATACGTCTTCGTATATACAGTTTATTTTTTATTTTTGATACACACTTTAAATGTATTTATATTAGGTATTTTTTTTCGTTCCTTTTTTTTTCTATTATCGTTTGATTTTTAATGTGTTTTTTTTTTAATTAATAAAATATCAAATATTTATGTTTGTTTAAATGTACGCATAGTAATCTACATATATACGTCTTCGTATATACAGTTTATTTTTTATTTTTGATACACACTTTAAATGTATTTATATTAAGGTATTTTTGTTCGTTCCTTTTTTTCTATTATCGTTTGATTTTTAATGTTTTTTTTTTTAATTAATAAAATATCAAATATTTATGTTTGTTTAAATGTACGCATAGTAATCTACATATATACGTCTTCGTATATACAGTTTATTTTTTATTTTTGATACACACTTTAATGTATTTATATTAAGGTATTTTTGTTCGTTCATTTTTTTCTATTATCGTTTGATTTTTAATTAATTTAATTTTTTTTTTTTAATTAATAAAATAACATATACATTTTACAAATGTATTTATAAATGTACTCTGTAAAAATGTACTGTAAAAAATAAAAAGTCTATATTCGTATTTCGGAGTATTATATTCGAAGAAAATTGAATGTTTCGATAGTATCTACATGCAGACACGTGACCAAATTATAGGATACGTAATTACTTACTTCCAGGATTTATGTATATGTATGTGTATGTATTAAACTGTAAATTTATAGATACACTTATACATATAACGTCGTAATGACTTAAAAGGAAAATCTCGTTTGTTTTTATTAGAACATTTCACATTGAATTTTATCTTGTTTCATGAAATTTCAATTATGTATCATTTACTACTCATATTCTTATTATTCTAATTATTATTATTATTATTATTATTAAAATTTGATAAAATATTTATAAATAATATCTAATCTGTGTTATTTATAATTAATTTGTTATTCAGGTGTATCAAATTGTTCGAAAAATCTCGAGGACAATGGAGGTGATGTCATCACGGTCAATCAGGTAAGATAATTGTATTTGTTTTTTTTTTTTTTAATTTTATTTTATAAAAAGAAAAAAAACATAATTAATATCAACCAATGAAAAATATTATTCTCCTTGAGATAACTAATCACACAAAATATAATTGTTATTTATAATTTTGTAGTCGTGTCTGTAGTGTCTGTAGTCGTTCATCGTTTCGTTTTCGTTACCATCGATTTTCATCCTCCTTTTTTCAAATCAACCCCCCTCCCCCTATTCTAAAGAAGTTATTCACTTCGATAATTGATATCAACCAATAAATCTATATTTTTTTTTTGTTTGTTAAGATAACTAATCTCAGAATACAATTTTCATTCATATTTCAATCTAATTTCTTGTTATTTTTCTAATTAATAACGTAACGCGAAGTTTTGTTGAATTTTGTAACGAAGTTAATTAATTATTTGTATTGAAGTTTTTTGTTTCATCGTAACAAAGTTATTTCGTTAAAAGTTTTACAGTAGAATGACATTATTCTATTTTACTAATAAAAAAAAAAAAAAAAAAAATAGAAACCAGAGAAAAAGGAAATAGCATTACATAAAAAACTACGAAATATGAATGGAATATATAACGTGAAATTATGATCAATATATATAAACGAATGTATGTGGAAGGTGATAAAGTTTCTAAATTTATCGTAAAGATAAAAAAAAAAAAATATATGGTAGATAAATATTTTATCTTCTATGTATCGTATACATATATATGTCTACATAAACAATACTGTATAAATTAGAATCGTAAATACTGATTTTCATTGGTTTTGGTTCGTATCTATTCTCTCGTATGTAAATTCAATATCGATAGTTTACGAATCGATAATATTAAGGATAAATTGTCATTGCGATGAATATAAAGAAAATATTTAACAAAAATAACAAAATTTTGTTTGAAATTATTAAATAATTCAAATGTTGTGCGAGATCAAAAGAAACGTCGTCGTTTTATTTCGTTTTATTTCTTTTTTTTTTGTATTGTTTTTTTTTTTCTTTTCTTTTTATTCACCTAAATAAATAAAAAAAAAAGAGATTAAAAATAAACGATAAATGTGTTATTTCGGGTTTTAAACGTTGGTAGTGTGGACAGGTAAAAAAAAAATTTTTTTATAAAATAATTCATTTCATTCACAATGGGATGTATTTTTTTATTCATTTATTTTATACGTGAGAAAAGTAATATGGCGTTTAACAATATAATAATGTGAAAATTGTTTAATAATAATCTTTTCATCCTTATTCTCTACATCATTTTTGTTTTATTTTTTCTTTATTTTTTTTGTTTGTTTTTTTTTTGTTTTTTTTTTCAAAAGTATTGGACAATGTTTTTTAAATTAGAGACACTTTACAAAATTATTACAAAATTGAAAATAAACGATAGATGTTATTTTATTTATTATATAGAAAAAAAAGATTTTTTTTGTTTGTTTTTTTTTTTTTTTTGATACGTTTTTATTATCTCCACAATTTAATTTTAAAAGGAAAAATAAATAAAAGAAAGAAATAAAATTCGTTGTGGAGTCACTTCATTAGCAAACGTCAAGTTTATTCTTTAATTTACCAATTCGTGATAACATTCAAACTGTCCAATTTAAAAAAAAAAAAAAAAAGGAAAAAAAAGGTTTCTCTTAATTAAGAATAAAAAAAAAATAAAACAAACAAGAAGAAAATAAAAAAAAAATGTCACTTGATAAGAATATAAATTTACACACGTTAATTAATTTATTTTTTTATATATATATATACTTTGATTTCTTTATTATTATTATTATTATTATTATTTGTAGAAAATTATTTCGATCACGCAATTTATCAGAATAAAATACAATACTAGATATAAACATAAACTGAATTTATTTATCATAAAAAATTTATTCATGATTGTTAACAATAAACCTTCAACTTAATTGCATAATTAAAATATATCAAATAATCTATCAATCTATCTCTCACTCTCTCTATCTCTCTCATTCTATTTTATTTGTTCTCTTTTTTTATTTTTTTGATTATTTTTTTATTGGGTATCAAAGTAGAGGAAATAAAGTCATTTGTTTATATTACTTCTTTTTTTTTTTTACATTTTTATTTATTTTTTATTATGGTTTTGGTTTTTCTTTTTACACCCTCTGTTTTATTTTATATAGTAATGATATATATATATATATGAAAAAGAAAACCAATTTAACATTGGCAAGTGATAAAAGTGTGATGTGGTTTTTTAATCCACTTTTTCAAATGAAAAACATACATATGTATGTATGTATAATAATATTCATTAAATAGAAACATAAACGTGTGTTGAGACTGTGTTGAGACTGTGTTGAGACTGTGTTTAAATGAAATTATCAATCTAATAAATTGTGTGTGACTCCTATGTTGAATATGATCAATAGTTCTTTTATTATTTCAAGATATCATAATATTATTAAACAATCAAGAAAAAATTTGACAAAATATATAATACTTAAATTAAATGAGAAATAATAATAATAATAATAATAATAGTATGAAAGTAAAAGTTCATTTTTAAATTAAATTCTTTATTTTATTGATATATTTTATTTATGATACATAAGTGTTATACTATTTATATCTTTAACTTTATTTTTTTTTTATTATTTATATTATAAATAATATTTTGTATTTTATTATGTAATTATTAAATAATATTATAATATTATAAATAATATTATATATAAATTATAAAATAAATTATATAAAATATTATATAAAATTAATTATTTAGTTTACTATTTATATTAATAACTTAATTTTCTTATTTCAATATTACTATACTAAAAAAAAAAGGATTATTAATTTATTTATTTATTATAGGAAGATATACAAGTATAAATAATTAATTTATTTATTCTAGAAGGATATAAAAGTATAATTAATTTATTTATTTATTATAAGAGTATATAAAAGGATAATTAATTTATTTAATCATGTTTTCACACGTGACTGACACGTTTGACACACGTGTTGATAAATGACAACAATTTGATGTGTAAAATTTGTTTTTATTTTTTGTTCTTGTTTTTTTAAAGGATATGAAATAAAAAAAAGAAAAATAACTTGATCGGATAATACTAGTATTAGTATGAAATAATAGTATTGATATTTGGATTATACTAATCCATTATTGATCACATTCGATTTCAGAATTTCACGTGGAATTTGGGACGGCCTGTCGAGGAAACGGAAACATTGGAATTATCCGTGGTATCTCGTGGAGTTCTTAGAATGGAAAAAACCATCGCAAAATATGGTCTTATTCTGCAGACTGTTGTACGAGAAGGTCACATTACTATCGAGGATTCATTGGTTGACCTTAATAACAAACCTCTACCTGTAAGTAATTTTTGATGTTTTTTTTTTTTTTTATTAATTTATTTTATTCAATGAAAATTTTCTGAAAATTTGGGTAATTTGTAAGTGAATGAAACGATGAAACAAAAAAAATGACGAAAAGGTACGTCACTAGAAAAAGAAAAAACATGTGTGCATATCACACAATTTAGAAGTGAAACCTTGAAATAAACAAATTTTGAGAATAATTTATCATATAATATTATTACAATATTATTTGTACTTTTAATTTGTAATTATTTATTTAATTATTAATTTAATTATATAAAAAATGCGCGCCTGTTCGTATGCAACCCTCCAGACACACTTTGAAAATGTTGCTTACGAGTGCCATCTACTGGGACGAAATTTTTTTCCAATCAAAACTGTTTATACACGTATGTATGACAGATTGCCTATCTTTCGGGCAGAACAAAAATTTCGTTTTGACAGATGACGCTTGCAAGCAACATTTTCAAACTGTGTGTCTGGAGGGTTGCATTCATACAGGCGCACATTTTTTTTTATAAGAATTATAAAGAAAGTAATTAATAAAAAACACTTTAAAAAATGTTTGCAAATCAAATATTTTTATAAATAATGCTAATAATTGAACTCTAATATTGTAATTAATTTTTTTGCATATTTTTAGAATAATATTTAGTATTTTATATGAAATAGAAATAAAACAATCATGCGTGCAGATCTCACGTTTTAAAAGTGAAACCTTCAAAAAACTAAGTTTATATAATTTATATATATATATATATATACTCATATTTATTTTTGACGTAACATAAGCTATTAGTTTTTGATCTTCCATAAAAAGGGGAGAAAAGATACTTGTATAAAATTTGTATTTTATTTCGCGTTGGGTATACAGTTACCTTCGCTATCTTTTCAACGCCGGAAGCTATACAGTAAGACAAACTTTATTTAAAATTTACAACCACGTAGCTTACTACCCTTTTTTTCTCGCTTGTTTTTTTTTTTTTTATATGAAAACTAAATTCAATCCTTATCTTACGCTATTTTTATTTTTTTTTTATTTTTATTTCTCATTTCTTTTTTTTTTCTTTTTTGTTGAGAATATTTACGGAGACACTTTAGTGAAAGAAACGAAAGGAAATGGAACGGATGATATCTTTTTTTTTT